AGAGAGAGAGAGACAGAGAGAGAGAGAGAGAGAGAGAGAGAGAGAGAGAGAGAGTCTCATATCTTATCTATGCTGCCAAGCCCTGCAACTCCCAGCGTATGATGCAACACACCGACTCAAACAACACAAACCCCATTTAAATAATACATTGGACTCAGATATTTTTTGCAAGAGTACCATAATTGCAAAATAGCCCTAAAGCATTTCTAAAATCAATCTTCTTTTCTTATATCATCCATGTTTCCCCCCGTATATATTTCTGAATTAAAACAAACACGAAAAGGAAACAGCTTGACGGATGATTGAGAAACAAGACTGAAACAGAAATAAAGTAACGTTTCAGGGAGTTGTTCCGCTTTCTGTTGCATTTCTCAGGAACACACCTTGTTTTTAAGCACTCGGCTGGGATCTGAGAACAGAGCACCACCTTGTGGTTAAGACTGGTGTTATCTCGTAATGCAAGTCCCTCAAAAAGGGTTTTTATAATTAACTGAAAATAAAACCATTAAAAAAATGTTCATTCTTTGGGGGGAAATTGAGAAATAAATCAACGTTAAAATAAATAAATAAATAAACGTTAACTGAAATAAAATTTAAATATTAAAATTTAAACCTACTTGTTTCATCTAGTTGCCAAGGCAAAATTTCCGATTTTCATTTAACTTGATGTAATGAAATAACTAAAACTGAAATAAAATGTATAAAAACTACATAGAAATTATGTAGAAACTAAAACTAAAAGAAACTAAAACTTTAACTAAAATGAAAATGGAAAACATAAAAATAAATACTAATTCAAATTAATTAAAACTATAGTATCTCAATGATACTAAAATAACGCTGCTTTCAAGCAGATGAATGAAGTCAAGATAGTTTTAGACACTTATGAGAAATGCTGTAATCTTTTTTTTTCTTTTGAAAAATAATTCCTTTAATAGTTTTTATCACTTCACTTCTTGTAAAAAAATCAATATGTGGTGTGAATAACCTTATGCTGATTTGGTGTACAAGAAACATTTCTTATTATTATCAATGTTAAAATTGTCATTGCTTAATATTTTTGTGGAAACCATGCTACATTTTTCAGGATTCTCTGATAAATAGAAAGTTCAAAAGAACATTTATAAAAATTTTAAAAAAATGTTTTAAATGTCTTTATGGTCACATTAGACCAATTTGATGAATCCTTGCTGAATGAAATTATTCATTTCCTTAATAAATATACATATATATATATATATATAAGTATACAATGTATACTATATGTATACTAATGTATACTATACATATGCATTAGTGCTTTTAGTTTTTTGCTTTATTTTGAATCTCAAAGCAAATTACACAAAATGCACAAAATAAATACCAAAGTAAAATGTTTATTTATCATAATACAAATAGTGTTTATGTTCAGAACTTCCTCTTGTCAAAGAATCTTTAATGCATGCTGATGATAAACCTGAGAATTGCGAACTTTCAGACTCACAGACATCTGCACGTACAAGTCAAAGCAAGCAAGGCACAAATGATGACTGACAGCCTAAATATGCATAAAGATCCTAAAAGAGCCGTCTGTGTCAAATCCAGCACTGTAAACATGCCACACACCAGGATGAAAAAGATACAGATCATTTCAAAAACTCAGATAATAGTGTATTGAAATCCAGTGTTTCTCTTAAAATTCCCTGTATATCCCTACTGCAGTCTGCAGTGCTTTAAATGGCTGCATAATATTATTAAAAATGATTTAAAAGTGTTTGCATCCACTGCAACGTAGTCAGTAAAATACACATGAATTATTTAGAGAAATAGAGTTCTTTGGTCAGCATAGACACAATACATGGTATCTGTTTCATGCCATCAAACCCTAGCAGATTGGAAGAGGATTCAAAGTCCAGCGCCACCTTGTGGTTAACACGTGTCATGATCTGCATGATCTCCAGTCGCTTGCCATATTTTGACAGCATCTCACACAGCGAGGAGATGAACCAGGAACCATTAGCAACGTTCCTCCAGGAGTAATAACCTGAGGACAGACAGAAAACAAGATAGTTAGGGCATTTGCATCTACGCATTTTCTTATTTGGATCTCAAGAAAAATTTTTAGAACAGGATATTAGTTACCTGGTGCAGTGGAGTAGGCATACAAAAAATCTGCCTCAACAGGAATCTTCTGTGTTTCCTCTTCACTTACGCTGTCGGCCTCAATGCCTGCATCGAGATCTGAGCCTCTGCAAGCCTGGAGACACACAGGACAAACACACTCAAACATCTGTGTAAGAGCAACTTAAACTATAAATTTAAACACCTTGTCAAATCAAAATTGGCCTTTAAAACTGTCATTATCGATGTTTTTGCACAGTCTGTTCATCATTAGAGTGAGTGTTCTGTCCAGTACAGTTTGCAGTTCATATAAAAGCTATTCATCTCAAAATAGTGGAAGCTATTAATGTTGTATAATTTGCATTTCTGCATGTTAGTGAACAAAACTCTATTGGCTACTTCAAAAAAGGAAAGAGCCCGTCAATACGCCCATGTTTTAACAGGAAATACAAGGAGTGTACGTTTTTAAAGGAATAGTGCACACAAAAATGAATATTGTCCTTGAAAATGACTTTCCCTCAGGCCATCAAAGATGTAGATGAGTTGCTCAGCAATGGATCCTCTGCAGTGAATGGGTGCCGTCAGAATAAGAGTCCAAACTGCTGATAAAAACATCACAATAATCCACAAGTAATCCACACATCTCCAGTCCATCAGTCAACATCTTGTGGATTTTTGTGATGTTTTTATCAGCTGTTTGGACTCTCATTCTGACGGCACCCATGCACTGCAGAGGATTCATTGCTAAGCAAGTGGTGTAATGCTAAATTTCTTCAAATCTGTTCTGATGAAGAAACAAACTCATCTTGGGTGGCCTGAGGTTGAGTACATTTTCAGCAAATTTTCATTTTTGGGTGAACTATTCCTTTATTTTTTAAAATAATTTTATTAATATGTACAATTTTAAAATATCTTTTAATAGATAAGAAACAATATATTTAGTTTTTATTAATTGTAAAATATCTT